GCCACTCTGCTCTTGAGGTATCTGGCCATCAGGACTCTGCAGATGAGGCATTCTCGGCCATTCTCGGCGTCGGAGAGGGCAGCGCTTCTTCACCTCATTGGACAACTGATCGAGCACACCTTCCTTGTGCTACGGCCCAAGCAGATCGACCTCATCCGGAGCATAGTTGGGCGAGACGCCGAATCGCTGAACACCGCTAGCCTTCCCATCAGCCCCGCTCGCGAGGCTGAGGTTCACCGAGACGAGTTGACGACGACTCGCCGCATTCTCGACTCCCTCGATAGTCTGAGCCCCAGTCTAACCTGTGGTCAGGCTGTCTCGTTGCTCGGCTGCCTCTGCCACATGCAGGCCATCGCCGGTATTTCCTCCGAACAGGCCAGCCGGTTGGCGGACCTCGAACTCGAGCTCACCAGTCGCCTGTGTCTGCACATCCTGGCCAGCCCACTCAGCGCTCCCCTACACCTGCCCACCATCCTCGACACGGACACTGTGGCCATGTTGACTTGGTTGTTGCAACGTTGTCCGATTGAGGCGAGTCCGGTCCCCGACGGTCTCTCGCCCGCCTCTCTGTCGCCACCCGCCTCTCCTGGCCACCGTTTGCCAGTGGGTTTGTCTGCTCCTCAGCTCCAGGCGACGACTCTTCCGGACCGACTACCTCGTCTAGTGTCACCATCAGCGCTGCTCGCCGCCACGTCCTTCCTGCAGAATCTGCCCGAGGCCACCTGCCTTGGACCCGACGAAGCTGGTCTGATGTCAGCCTGTCTGAACTCCATACAGATCACACTTGATGATCTCTCCAGCATGGGCCTCCTGACGACGAGTGTCCAGACGGACCACCGGTCGTTCAGTTGTCACGGTCCCTTCCGGCCTGATGGACTACAGCCGCCCTGTATTGCACCGTCCGAACTGGCCGCTGTTGAGGCAGTGCGCGTTCGATTGGACAAATATCTGACCGACTGGGAAGACGACAAGAGGACGCGGGAGGGACGAGTTGAGGCGGAGATAGGTTGTCTGCTGGCCGTACTTGCGAGTCGGCTTGGCAAAAAAATTGCCCAGGCCTACCATGCCAGTCTTCGAAGAGGACTCGAGATCTGGCTTTCCGCCTCGGCCAATGACCGATTCGTCTTCAACCGACGGACGGCAGGCGATCTTGTCAACGCCTTATACGTAGCCGTGACTGCGTGCTCAGGCCAAGCCTCACAAATGTACTCACTCCAGTCAAATAGATCTGGGCTGACACTGCAGGCGCCAATCAACCTTTATTCCGTTCCCCCGGCTGGGATTCGAGTCAGCGTCCAGTCGTTAATTGAACAGCTCATCAAGCCTGTTGACGAGGTGAGCAATTTACCTACAATTATCGGTTGCAGTCTAGTCATAAAATATCTCCTTTAGTTCAAATTGGCTGCAAGTAGTTTGGTTATTAACCATCTTCGCAATACTGTACAGATAAGCAGAAAGCTTCAATTTACTCTGTTTTGATTCGACTCCATTTTTATTATGACCGGAAGTCTATTGAGAAAAAAAAACTTTAGAATTATGTGTTAAAGTTGTATAAGTAAAATATAAGAATGAGCAGGGCTAATTACTTGTATTCATGTTCGTAAGGAAGGCACAATGGTCAGCATAATGAGGAGAATGAAGAAGCTTGGGCAGGGCAGACGACGAGGGCAGGATTGCTGGAGTCGTGCAGTCAATATGAAGATTCTAACAGATAGAACGCTGCGGAGGCTCAATTCGGATAGTCGACGATGATTTGAAGCCAGCCCCGGTTACAGAGTCGCATTGCTTCTGCGGAGCAATGGTTGTCGTTGAAAGACTTGGCCTGGTATGTAGAACCTAGCTTAAAACGCTTCTCCTGCGTCGTAGATCCTACAGGCTAGTACTTTTGCAGATGTAGAGAGAAGAAGCGGCATTTTATATACAGGAGGATAGCTGTTAGGATGACTACTACGACGACCCTGGTTGTAGATGAAACTAGCGCCCGGACTTCCTTCAAGTGAATCCTGAGGCAAGCCAAACAACGGTAGACTGCGAGCGTGATACGATGCGGCCAGGGCTGCTCGCCTTAATGAAGGCTGGTTTCGGGAGAAATAGTTGAGTCAAGAGTTCTTCCTGAGCGACTTGAATGCTGGCTTCTGATTGGTTCGAAGGGCCACAATCGATGTGGTGGCTGGAATTTGATTGGCTGACGCGAATCAAAAAATGAGGCATGTTCTCATTCTCAATTATTTTGAGACTTACGAATATTTTGAGACTGTCTACGTGAGCTAATTAAATTATAAGAGGGACTTTAATTTCGTATGAGAGTGAATGAAGATGAGGACGGATAAATCTCGTTGTACTGCAGTCGTTTAGCTTTTATACAATATTCATGTTGACGAAGTCCACAAGACTTCCTCCCTCATTTCGGTTGAAAACGTGCTGAGCTTTGGTCCATCGTATGATGGACATCATCAGATCTGGATATCATTCTTGTAAGAGTCTCACGTTAACACTAGACCAAGAACACTATCTGGCTCTATCATACTTCTTATATTGACTCAATTGAGCCAAAATATAATTAAAAACTTAGATAGATCGATATAAAATGGTTTGGTTAATTTCCTTTCAAACTGGTCCTGTTATTTTTGCTCGATTGTATGAATATGTGCATATGTGCGTGTTAGCGTCTATATGCAATACGGTTCCTAAATCAGAGTTGTCAAAGTTTTAACCTCAGGTTCTGATCCTCAAGACCTAATGAGCCAAGAGAAAGCCTTGACTGAGACTGCCTAGGTCCGTATACAAATATAATTGAGATTATGAGATATGCGTTTTTAAGCATAAAACTCAAGTTATAAAACCAATTGTTAT